AAATTTTGTAAACGTAGCATTTTTGTTATTTTAATTTTCGGCTAAATTTTCCTACAATCGCCAGTGGCTGAGGGGATGGTGTAAATCCAGCTAGGGTCTATGCAGGTAGCAAAGGCACTGTAAGTCCCCATGGTCCCTAGTATGGTGATCTACCTTCGGTTGTTGGCGATCTATAACCCAATTTTATATTGTATTGTATTCATGAATAAATTATTTTTACATTTACCAGCTAGTATGTATGTATGTATGTATGTATGTATGTATGTATGTATGTATGTATGTATGTATGTATGTATGTATGTATGTATGTATGTATGTATGTATGTATGTATGTATGTATGTATGTATGTATGTATGTATGTATGTATGTATGTATGTATGTATGTATGTATGTATGTATGTATGTGTGTATGTATGTATGTATGTATGTATGTATGTATGTATGTGCGTATGTATGTATGTATGTGTGTGTATGTATGTACATATATATACATATATATACATGTATATATATGGAGAGATACAGAGACAGAGACATATACACACACATACAATTCTTTGCATGGCCAATTAACATAATGGTAATTACATACGTAATTGTACAGATATGTGAAAGTGTAACCAGCACTTTAATGGGTTGAATTAACTATAAAGCAGATACTTGGTGAGTTTAGCTCAGTGAAAGTTCATACCGTGTGATCACTAAAAGGAGCATGCTTCTCAATAAGGATAAGGAGGTACACTATACGGCAGTTTATATTCTTGCTCAATGAGTAATTCTTTCTGACTTGCAGGCTACTCTTAAATATCGAGGGGTCTTCAACTGTGCTGGATCGCTTCTGAAGGGTTCGTCAAACAGGTGGTATATCCTCACCGTTGCCCATCTGTTTTCAGTAAGTTACCCAGTATGTAGATGTATACCTTGCTGTATTGGAATATAGATAAATTGATCTCAATGCAACCGAATATCAAACATACGATATGAATTGTTCGTCACGTGAAACACTTCAGCTTAATGGAGCTATGGTTTCATGGATTAAGAGATGATTAAGGTTTTAAATTTGGCTGTAGCTATTAAGATCTGTCGGGTGTTGGTTAAATGCAAAGATTTTCCCAAATTCGGTTTGTTAGAAAACAATATCATAACTCGTATGGAGTACGTGTAGGAAGCGTGACCGGTTATTTCTTGAGCTATCTGAATACAACCGTGGCCACATTAACGTTTATAGGGTCATTTTATATTTATTTTAAGTCATATTCTCTTCGTAAAAAGATTATAACCATTTTATGAAACTTCAAACAATTGTGTCACATAACAGTGGAACGATTGTCACGGATTGGAAGATTCGTCTTGGCGCACACGATCTGTCGGCAAATGAACACTCCACTGAGTTAATTGACGTCAAGGCTAAGATGACCCATCCTTTATTCAAGCCTCTCACACTTGAGCATGACACAGGTTGATGGAGCTGTAGAGAGCGCCAAGGATAAGCAGGCCTGAAATCAGTTTCGGTTGTGTTACTGGCAATGGAACTGTTACAGGAGAAACGTGCTATGTTATTGGATGGGGTACAACTTCAGAAGGTATATTTCAATCGAGGAACCGGTATGCCAGTCTTACCGTTTCCAAACAATGTCATTTCAATGTGACATGTTTGATTCTGGTTAGGTAAAATTAGATTAAATTAAATTTCTTTTTCCATTCCATACCTAAAGATTAATGTACTTTTCCAACAGACATCAAGATTAATACGCAAGGGGGAAATAGATTACAGTTGCAATTTAGCTTACTTATATTTAGACGATCCCTACAGAATCCAATTAAATCGCTTCACTTTGATCAATAGCTCTTTATTTTCATCAATCATGCCTTTGACTACATTCGTTCGTTCGTTCGTTCGTTCATTCATATCCCAACAGAAAGCGCTCCATCAGATATGCTGCAGACTGTGGAGAGGCCCGTAATGTCCCAGTCCGCATGTAGAACTTCCACGAAGCCTCCATGTTATAAACCTATCTCCGATTTTCTCTGCAGTACAGTAGGTTCCTTCCAGAATCGGATAGACCTCTGCCGTCACTTTGCACCGATCGAAGTACACGTTTCGAAACCTCATATCAGGTTAAATTTCGACCACTTCATAACCTAGGTTTTGAAATGGTTGTTATTTAACCTGATATGAGGTTTTGAAATGGCCATTATTTATGATTGATACAACTTTTAGTTGCTATGACTGATCAATATATAGTGGCGATAACTGGCTTCGAACCCGCAACCCTTCGATCTGTAGCTTGGCGGTTTTATCTACTAGGCTACGAAGGATCGCTGCAAGAATTGAGATTGTTTGTCAGTATGAACCACGTGCTCCTCATAAGACGGGTACTGACACGGGTAGCGCGTGCGAGGCAAGGCGTTGGCTGCCAGTCGCATCCCAGTTGACACCGGCTGTTCCATCATTTGCGGGCTGTTCCATCAATGTTGTTCTGCTCAGTACATGCACAAATTGAAAATAAAACACATTTGTGTTTTAGATTCATGCCGGTTCATAAGTCGGATAAAACACTCTCCCTCGGTCTTGGTCGGATTGTAAAACCTGAGAGCAGCAGGGACGGAGCTTGTAAAACCGAGGGCGAAGGTTTTACAAGCTCCGTCCCTGCTGCTCTCAGGTTTTACAATCCCGACCAAGACCTCGGAGTCGTGTTTTATCCTTTACATCTGGGCAGGTTTTCCTGAAGGAGGGAAAGACCCGTGTAATGTATGTGACACACACATTCCTAGATACACGAAACTGACTTTTCTAAGATACTTGACGAACCATGACTTGAACATTGACTAGGTTATAGTTCTCAAACCCGGTTGTGTAACCCCTTATTTCAATTGTTTGGGGCGTGTTTGTTTCAGGATAACAGCGGTGGGCCACTGATGTGTTATCGTGATGGCTGTATGGAAATAATTGGTACGTATTGCAAAATGTATGTGAAACAGGGCTATATAATGACATACATGTATGAAGAATTTCAAAAGTACAGCTAGAATATATGATGTGTCAGGGAAAATGATATTAAGAAAGCACTCATGTCTGAGGAGGGTATAATCCTTAAATCAGATAATGTCCTTTTGTCAAAGTGAACATTAAATCTAAATAATATGATTATACATTGTTCTAACCAGGTTGTATGGGAGCAGACATTGTCACGGATATTGGGATGAAGCCAGTGTTAGTGTATAAGATGGCCTTCAAATATTGCAATAACTATTCATAGTATGTGTACATTGTGGCGTTTGTAATATTATATGGTATCAATACATTGCCAAATACACGTCTTGACTTGAGCGATCGTAATCCTTCATTACGGTACCAGTCTAATAAAGAGCGTGTCAGTGATATAATGAAGAGAGAAACAATGACAAAAATGAAATGAATGCTTTCAACGGATTCACATGTCTTTAAGAGATGCATTATCATGAGCATACTTTAATCAGTTTAAATATTCCAGGAACCTTCAGCTGGGGCTATGGCTGTGGTCAGCCGAATTCTCCAGCCAAATGGATTGTTACCACCATCAATATTGAGGCGCATTAATGCACAACTTGAATACAGGTTTTCAAAATGTGAATCACGGTTTGATAATATGCAATGCGATTTTTGAATAATTGTACGACACACATATTTGACATTGGAAGCGACCCAAAACAAGGATATTGTAAGAGCACCTACAGCAACAATATGCAATCAAACATTCTCATTGCTAATCATACCTTGATAGTAGGAGTGGAATTATGTGCGTACGGCGTAGATAGTGATATTGTTTAGATTTACGGTATGAATGTAGACCCTGACTCGTCGACAATAGTACCTGCCTCACCCGCCGCATTGTAGTGCGATTACACACAGTTACGCCAATTCCGGTACAAGTCACACGAAGCAGCACTCAGTGATCTGACATTAATGAACGGTCCAACAATAAGGCTGCATATTTAAGGTCAAATGACCACTTGTTTTTCTTGTTTTCATGAACTGATATCACTGTTACCTTCCCTGGTCTATGTATGTTCATGAAACACATACTTGGTAAATCTTTGAACAAACATACACACTTCACTCACTGGATGTTAGTGGTCATGCTCCACCTTTATAGGGCGCTGGGGTAGCCTTCTGGTTACAGCGTCACGTGGAAGACCCGGGTTCGATTTCCCACACTGGCAAAATGTGTGAAAGTCATTTCTGGTGTTCCCTCTGTGATATTGCTGGAATATTTCTTAAAGCGACCACTATTCATCCTTCTGGAACAAGTTCGACATGCGACGTCTCGGGGAAGAGTTCTGAAAAGCTCCATTTGGATTCTTACGCCAGAACATCGACGTCGACGTATTTCAATAAAATAATCTGTTGCGGATTTAAAATTAACTGGCCTAATATCCAAGTACAGAATGTGTTTTTTACCGTCAAAACTAGTATGTAACACCAACGCTGACTACTTATCTAATCTGTAAACCAGGTTGACGTCTTGTGCATCGTGTTTTAAATGGCCCGAACCTAAATTTAGCCTCTTTTTACAGTTAAAAGTACTGCATGTGCATTTTCTAACAGGAAACATTATATACATTTTTAACGCTCCAGTGTCAGTTTTCGTGTATCTCACAGCAGCCATCCAGTACACTCTACAAATATTTCATGCATCCGCCTGGTGTGAAGAGTTGAACCTACAGTCAACATAATGCAGCGGCTGAGAAACGTTACTCTATAAATGCAGTGCCTATAATATTAGACACCTCTGGATTAACTGCTTCCTATCATGTTGTTGGAACTAAATGTTTCTGTCTGGATACACTTTGTGTGCTCAATTCAGGACGGTACTGCCTGCAGACTTGCTTTAGGTTCTTATGAAACTATTACAAAATGATTTCCAACTTTAAACGACGACTAATATATCAACGTGTTCGTGACCATTTTGGCAGGTGTTTCGAGTGATTTGAGTCCTCCAGGACGTGGCATCAATGGTGTGGGTTTTGACTACACCACCCTCCCAAAAGTAACCCGGAAACGCATCGTTGGTGGAGAAATTGCAACTCCACATTCATTTCCATGGATGGTAAATGAAGGCACATCTTTTCCAACGTTAAATTCCAGGATACGCAATGCCATTTAGATAGTGGTGTAGGGGATTACACTTTCTCATTCAGTTGCAGATTCTAGTGATGTTGGGTTTTCAGTCAATTTAATTTTAAATTAAACCTTCCGCATCTATATGACTCAATAGTTTGAAACAACATAGAGCGTCAAGATACAGACTTATCAGAAACACGTAAATAGACATTGTATGTTAGCGTGTACTGGAAAAACACGTAAATACACATTGTATGTTAGAGTGTACTGGAAAAACACGTAAATACACATTGTATGTTAGCGTGTACTGGAAAAACACGTAAATACACATTGTATGTTAGCGTGTACTGGAGAAATACCAGAGAAAAAGACGTGAAAACAGGCATCCTTTTGAATTTTGTTTTGAATGATTACACAATGCCATTTAGAAAGTGGTCAAGTGTAACATATGCTATATTTTGGATTACACTTTCTTAGTAATGTACAGATTCTTGTACTTTTGTTGGGTTAAATTTTTAATGTTTTTAACAGTTGACTTAATATACTGAGTGACCTAGATGTGCCCAACACTTAATACCATTTTAACAGCCGATGAAGGTGAATGTAATGAGGCGGCCACAATGTGTGATCTGCTTGATTTAATGAGCTTGTACATATATATCATATCTGATGCCACGAACCACTGGTTTGTTTGCCCATGAAATAGCTGACTTGAGTTGAATACGACCAAATATCCTGTTCCTTCATTGCCTGCATCTATGTCTCCAGGCCGCTCTTGAAAACCGTGGTGTTTTGCATTGCGGTGGGTCACTTCTGAAAGGCAGTTCTGACAGGTGTTCGTCCTAACTGCTGCCCACTGTTTGCAGTAAGTTGATGACATGTAAAACATGTAAACTTATATTTAGAACAATAGACGTCCACGTTTATGAGAAATTAAATCTTAAGTATTATTGTTTTCGTAAGAGAGGAGTGATGAGTAAGTCTATGTTATTGCCACTTTGAACAATATTTCAGTCATGGCATGCCGTATTGATGAGGGTGTTATATGGCAAGAGTATAATGAGGCAAATCGTGTGAGTGGGGGGTGATACACCTGGTGCCATCACTGAATTTCAGTGATCCATTCATAAGAATTTCACAGCCACATTTCTTTTCCTAAAGGAAATCTGTTTTTCGGTATAGTCAAGACAAGCCAATGTATTTTCTTGCTAAGAGTAACCAGTCAATAACATATTTGGTCCTAAGTTTCTGAGACGTATAGTCATGTATTACACGTGAACATGCCAGTGCTATTCCTTATTCCACTGTCTTAATGGTGTACACCCATATGACTGGCAAGTTCTTAAATTGGATGCAGGGATAAAGAGTTGGTGCCATCATTGATGTGAAACGATAATCTAGGCTTATTAAGGGAGTCGATGTATATCACGTTTACTCTATTTCACTATGCCGAGATCAGAATGTAAGATAACACATTTCCAAAACGTAATTATTCTAAAACAATATTCACTTGTTGTCAGTGGAACTTCTGAGTCAGACTGGAAGGTTCGCCTTGGCGTTCATGATCTCTCCAAAACCGAATCTTCCTCAGAGTCAATTGACGTAAAGACCGCTATGATCCACCCTCAGTACAATACCCAAACATTGGAGTATGATATCGCCCTGATTGAGCTGAGTAGCGCCCCGCAGCTCTCTGGGCCTGAAATCAACATTGGGTGTGTTTCCGGGGATGTCACTAAAGCAGGAGAAGTGTGTTATGTCGCAGGATGGGGAATCATCTCGTCAGGTATGTCTTTCAGTTCTTGACGCTAAACGTATACGTGTATAATACTGACTGTACATGCGTCGATCTATTTGTATATGAAGTCGCGACATGTTAATTCAAAATTTATCAAAAAAATACATGGCTCATTCTTTCTCTATCGTTGACAAGTGGACCGTCCTGGTTTCTGTATCAAACATTCTGTTTCCACATTCCATTTTGTCAGTAAATTATACTGGACATTTGTTAACGTTCAGTCGAATCTTCCAATGACTGATATGTCCTGATACACCGTGACCTGTTGATCCACAAGGAGACATGCAGCCATCGGTACGAAGTGTTTGAAAACTTGTGTTTGGAATGGCAGGTGCGTTTTGATTAGGCTGAAGATCCCTTCAGTGGACAGACCAGGGCCCAGGCTGAACAGTGTGGCGTACACATGTACAGGGAGAGAGAGTTCAGTATTCCGATATACTAATAATGATAATAATAATAATTGTGAATTTATAATGCGCCTTTTCCATGTACAAAGCATATACACAATCTGATTATTATTACCCCGGATAAAACAAGCTGCCTGTGAGGCCCAAGAAGGTAAATAGTGACACGACTTATCCCAATGGGTACCCAATTTCTGCTAGGTGAACAGAGACAAGTTTGAACAAGCTCAGTTGCCTTCGTTGTGGGGCAGGGCTGAAGTCCTAGAAACTCCCAGGAGTCAAGCTGCCCTATATGGTCATCCATTTAAGGACTCTCCGCATCCATCGTTGCTAAACTTCAACTGACTTGTTGATGCCTAGTTAGATTAGGAAACTATTGTCCATATGGAGTGGGAAGCTAGGTAACCCCGGCACTAAGGCTATTGAACGCATGTAGAACGAGCTGCAGATTGCCCTTTTCAAGACATTCAGCAACTCTACATGAACCTGGCAATGACCTTTTTCAAGAGTGGAATCATTTCTGTGGGCAACCACCCAGACACATAATTAGGAGCATATTAGGACAATAGTACCGGATGTTTCAGTTTCGTTCAGATATTATTTTTCTGACAAGTAGTCTATTTTAACTCACGTGTTGTTTGTCGTTATTGTGTCATATGACAGAAGACCTTTCTTTATTAAAGTGTGTTCACGCAATATCCACTTTGACTTTTTTAATAAATTCACGCTAATTGACTTTTTACGTTTTAAAATAGTGATCCATAGCCAACTTTGAGTAGTGTACACGAATATTACCGTTGTATCGGAAAAACACACTTCCACAAAACTGGTATTCGTATAATAAAATATGCCGTTTTACCTTTAGGTATTGACTGTTAATTTCCAATTAGTTTCAGCCTTGCAAAAACAATAGTATCGTCGTTTCATAAGCATAAAGTGTGACTGTAATAACAGGAGACTGACTTCCTGCTGACAAACTGTACATACAGGAGGAAATACATCAGATGTACTCCAGCTTATTGAAAAGCCTGTCCTGTCACAAACCCAATGTAGGGACCTATTTGGCTCGAACACCTTCCACGAAGCTTCGATGATCTGTGCAGGCTTCATAGAAGGAGGGAAGGACTCCTGCACCGTAAGTACTTTGTCTTAATGATTGTTCAATAGAAGTCAAATAGCCACTGCCCTACAGTTGTATTACCCACGGTACCTTAGCTAGGAATTAAAGAATCCGATGAAACCGCCTCATTTGTTTCATATGTATGTCTAATAAATACTGAAACGCAGTTTTATAGTGCACCAAATCAACTCCCTCAAGCATGCTCAAAACACAATATTTATTACCCCAGTCTGTGTGTAGTCTAATTGCATGCTCACCTCTCTGGAGAACACAAATCAAGCTGCTTCTGAAGCGCTGGTATAATCACTGCTGGGTGAAAAGATATATAGAATCAATAGAATTTAAACGTTTTCTGTTGAATGAACGGAATGAAAAGCAATGTCATGAGAAACTGTGTCACTGTTATGATACACATTAAGTGTTTGCATTTCACATAGAAGTTGTGTTTGCATTTTACATAGAAGCTGTGTTTGGCATTTACGCAATTAATAAGTCACGTTTATTATTTACGATAAACTTTGGGGAACAGTAGTACAATAACCGCCGGTATTTGTGACCTAGAAGTATGTGTTAAATCACGATCCCACATTTCATGGACAATTAGGACAAGTGACAAAAAGAACACAAAAGCAAGACTAGAACACTGTGTACATACTGCACTGCTTTTACAAAGTGAATTAGTGATGAAATGAGTTGACCTTCCCATTGTCACAAACCTGAGACTATTTGTAAAATATGTAACTGGGCTGACGTAGTTGATCTGATAGAGAGAAAACGTTTATTACAGAGCGACAGCGGAGAAACTTTGATGTGCTACCAAAACAATCGTATGGAGATCATTGGTAAGGGGTCATATTAAGACATGTCTTTCTCAGAAGTGATATATGCAAAATGCCCATGATAACTGCATCCCGCTTTCCGGCAGATCATAATCCAGCGTATGGACACGCCTACTGCTTTCAGTTATTGAGTGAGTGAGTATGGTTTTACGCCGCTTTCAACAATATTCCAGCATTATCACGGCGAGGGACACCAGAAATGGGCTTCATACATTGTACCCATGTGGGGAATCGAACCCGGGTCTTCGGCGTGACGAGCGGGCGCTTTAACCAACAGGCTACCCCACAGCCCTTTCAGTTGTTGACGTCCGTCTGAGTAACGATCTGCATGATTTTCTAATCATGTGTTGATGTCCATTACTTCCAACACGTTTGCAACATCATAGCCCTCCAGTTATGGGACAAGAGTCAGCTCTCCGTACGATGCAATCCCCTCACATAAGAGTTTCAACTTGATGATAATGTTAATCTTGATATTAAATGTGGACTTGTTTACTTCACGGTCTAACACGAAATATATGAACCTCTCATTTGAGGTATTGTCAACGAGTTTTAACAACAATGGAGAGCTTCATTTTGACACCACTTTCAGAAATAGATATAAATTACTTTGTGTCTCTGATTGTCCGTGTTTCGTTTCACTAGCATTTTACACTCTAACCAGATTGTTGAAGCGTACGTTTTTCTACCTTAGTGTTTTGTCTTCATGTTCAATAGTAACTTTCATAATGAATACACAAATGTCACATTGAAACATGTCAAATTTTCTCTCGAAGACATCGGTTTTCATGGCAGTTACTCTTATATTTGCAGGCATTGTGAGCTAGGGAATTGGTTGCGGTGAGCCGAATTCCCCCGAGGTCTATGCTAGTGTTTCAGGAGGAAAGCAGTGGATTGAAGCTAACATAAATGCATAGATGGTCACTACAATATGACGAATGAAATAAACTTGGATACCTTCGTTTTACTATATGTGAAATATATCGGATGTTTCCTATATGGCCTTCAAATAAGGACATTAGGATTGTACGTATCTAAAGTAGGTTGTGTCACTGAACATATACTGATGAAAATGTTTGCATACTATAATCATGTAATCATACAAATAGAATCCCAATTGTACTACCATGTAAGTAGATCAGGAATTATGTGTAAATTATTAGCAAATATGACAGCGTGTTTTTAATTCCAGTTCGTGATAGTGATGAAAGTGATTCCACACAACCGGGTATCATAAAATGACTTGCTTTTGTGTGCATGTTAGAACACCAATTGAAACATAGAATTATTATATTGTCTCACAAAACTTGCAGAATGTATATTATACACATACTGAAAGGACCCAAATATAAGTATGCAACACAAAAATAATCAGATATATGGATAATGTCCTAAAAGATATCCATGGTATATGTGACAGCAGCAATAACGTAACATTAATAATTTGAATGACAATCAATACTAAGTCCGGTACTCTCATTTTGAAGTTGTACATGTTATTTCCATGCATCTCTGCATTGTTAGCATGCATCCGATATGCAGCATTAATGTCATATAGATCTATTGAAACATTTAATTTGATATTCAGGATGAGTTTACGTTACAAGAAAATGTTTTCTAACGTAATTAGAAACTCCAAGTGCAATTGTGCATGACTCGACTCAGGTTCCACGTTTATTTTGCGGCCGTGAGTTTTCAGTTAAGGTCAATTAAAATCCTGTAGACATCATGTGGTTTTTTTAGGTATCATAGACATTTTGCTACGTTATTCTATCTATCTATCTATCTATTATTATGTTGTACAGATTAAAGATAGTATGCAGCAGAGAGGGTTCGGGTGATCCTGGCACAGTCAGGCTCTACACGCGGCCCAGACAGCGAATGGGACTCCTCCCAGGAAACGCTGCCTAGTCGAACCCACCAAGAACTTTCCGGAGAATATGTAGACTCCACAACACTGCAGCCTTCTGCATTACCCAGAATGTCAGACGGGCTGTGCTCCCGGTGGAGAACCCGGGTACTCTCTTGATATGCGCCAAGAGATCAAGAGGTACCAAACCAAGGGCACCGAGAACAATGGGGAGTCTGAGGACAGTGTACTTGGGATGCAAGCGAGACATTTCAAAGGCGAGGTCCGCATATTTAGAACGCTTTTCCTGAATCTTGCCAATCACGTTGCTGTCAAAAGGGACTGAAAATTCAATGATATAAATACATTCTTTGGCCTTATCAAAAAGGACAAGATCAGGTTTGTTGGCTGGAATTCTTCTTAGGTTGTATATGGGTCTTTTCCAAAGAAGTTTGAAAGCATCATTTTCCATGACGCCCTGGACATGTTCAGGGTGGTACCATGGATGGACCTCAGAGTCAAAGCCACAGGCATGGCGAAGACGGTAATAAAAGCAGCGAGCCATGCCATCATGTCTCTTAAGATAAAGTGTTTATTATTATGTTTTACAGATTAAAGATAGTTTGCAGCAGAGAGGGTTCGGGTGATTCTGGCACTGTCATGCTGGTAATGCCCATCATCAGCTCAGGGCCCTCGCCTCCTCTACACGCAGCCCAGACAGCGAATGGGACTTCTCCCAGGAAACACTGCTTAGTCGAACCCACCAAGAATTTTCCGGAGAATATGAAGGCTCCCCAACACTGCAGCCTTCTGCATTTATTATCATTATTATTATTAGGATAGCTCAGAGTGAGTAAGTGAGTGAGTTAAATTCACGCCGTTTTTAGCAATATTCTAGCAAATTCACGACGAGGGACACCAGAAAGGGGCTTCACACATTGTACACACACGTGCACGTTGGGAATCGAACTCGGGTCTTCGGCGTGACTAGCAAACCACTGAGCCCTGGATGGTTCAGACATTATACTATTTATCATTTTGACTCGATTCCCAGCACTTATATCGAACAGTATCTTACCACTGGGAGTAAGACACTCCCAAAATCCGACTAAATAGACTGTGTATGCTGGACAAGTAATGTAATAATTTACTAAATGTACGATTGGGGTTCTGACATGCTATTCTCTACTCTGTTTTCCCTGTATATAATTAATCTTTTTGCATATATGTGTTGCATCGATCTTTTTCTATTTTTCTCATAACTAATTAATCAATAACGATTATCTACCAGAACAGATTCCTTTTGGAGCATAAGTTTGGTTGAATTATATGAATGGATCACTCACAATCTTGACACCAGGTGTTCACAAATCTTAAAATTCTTCCTGTACCATTTTTAAAATTTCTCAAACGCCTCCACAGCTACGTTTGCATCTAATCTCTCTCAATGCATCATAGTGCAATTCGTAGGCAAAAGCTGAACTAACAAGTCCTCCAATTAAAAAAGATGATTCTGACACATATGTCTTTTTGACGCCCACAGACAGGGCGAAATTACCACCAACAATATCAGGCAGGTAATATGACAAAGGCAACAGCTTCATGACACGCGCTGCTACAAATAGGTGGACATCTGATTGTTCGGATCAAATCTACAGATGTTGTATCCAGAATGTAGGTAACAGGTTCATGTTCTGACACAGTTTTGTCCTTTGTCTGCTTTTGTTTGCTAATGTTAGGTAGGAATACTCAACAATGCACACACAGTGGTGGAAATCTAACAACGTCCCCTACCGTCGGGGTAAACTTTCACACAATGAACTACATCACCATCTACCTGCAATCGGTATTTATGGCGTTGGAACCAACTTATCTGACTCTTCCGCTCTCACTTTGATGTTCAATAAAATTCAAAACACATCACGCACACTAATGCCCATCGCAATCCTGCATTATTTGGGAATTTTCCCATCCACTGTCATTGTAGAGAAAACAAAATTACATCGTAAATCCTGTCATTTTTTACACATAACTTAATCATAATTAACGACGATATATTTAATGTGTTTCTAAATCTAAATATCGAATATTTACTTATACATCTTCGTGATCACAGTTATTTGTTTTGTGTTGGGTTTGCTTCATCAAATCTCCAATAATCATTCTCTCACGTTCCTCATAACCCTAGAACCACTAAGAATGTTTGCGAAAACACGAACGCTGAGTATGGGTGAGGTGCCGCTACACCATGCATAACCAAAGTAGGGGTAATATGGTTTTGAAACCACTCTCAGAAGAACTTGGTGTACACGATGCATGTCGTTTGTGATAACTTGACCACCTGTTGACTGACTCGTACAACACAAGACAGCAAGTATCACCACCAGAGTATCATGGAGAGATAAAGCCTATTTCCTTAGTTGTGAGATTGTTTTGTTTCGTTATTTGTGGGGTGTTGTTGTTTGTTTGTTTTTGTTTTTGTTTGTTTGTTGTTGTTGTTTTTTCCCCTTTTTTGCACCGCTTTCAGCAACGTAACAGCAATATCACGGCGGGGCACGACAGAAAATGGGCCCCGCCGATGGTACCGGGGAATCGAACAAAGGTCATCTGTGTTACGCTCTTACCACTTGGCAACCCCCTCACCCCGTTTACCTGGTAAGGTAATTGTTGTTACCTTTTTGTCATATTGGTGGGGTTTAGCACGTATAAATCTGCGAAATCATTATTTCACATTGTCACAGCTATCAAGTGTATATGTGATATACCTCTCCTACACAATATGTCCATAATAGTCGGAACTGGTTCACATGTAATTTAGAATGTACAGGAACGTGTTGTCGTTTAGCGTGAATTCGTAGGTAGCCTGATGTTTTGACTTCTGAGGCAATTCCTTATTTTTGTTGCTGCTACTATTGTCAGGTATTGATTGGGCGCCGGTATTGTCTTGCCGATAACATCCCTGCTCAAGCTCATGGTATACTGGCTATAAACGTTAACTGTATTTAAGCACAACTTTCTTATGAATGTTGCTTCTATTCAAATATGTTTATGATAACTTTTGAAATGGTTTGGAGTAGTATATACAATAGCGGAACGGGACCAGGTCCTTACCAAGGCCTTAATTTTCCAAATTAAGGCCTTGGTAAGTTCCTAATACCGTTCCGCTATTGCATATACTACTGGTGGAGGTACATGCCACATTTCACGAAAATCTGTGTAACGGTTTGGGCAATATTGACCTTTAATTGAGCATGGGGTCTGTCTGGCAAAAGGCTAAATATTCAAGGTATTGTCGTAATTAAGTCGTAATTAACCTAATGAAGTCTTCGAGAGCGTCCTAATCCCCGTTCTGTTATAGTGTATATACAACTGCTGAGATGCATGCAAAATGCCGCGAAAATATGTCGAATAGTTTAGGAAATAATCACTTTTTTAGTGAGCATGGGGTCTGTCCGCCGAAAGGCTAACTATCCAACGTTTTTACGTACTTGTTATAAAGTAGCGAGGCGAGAGCTGCCTGAAGCTAAATCATACCGCAGCTCTCGGTACTCCCCCCGGGTTGCCTCGCTGCAGTCTCGGTAGCACTGAGCGAGCGCTGTGGGCGAGTCGCAGTGTGTGTGTCTGTCTCTCGGCTCGGCTATTCACCTACAGCTCGCTGAGCTGGCTGGCCGGCTGGCTACGTTATGTTGATTTCCGCGAAACAATTTATTGTGAATCTCCTATGATTTGTTTGGTTTTCGTAATGAAGGCTTGTTGGGCCTGTTCCTTCCCTTGTTCTATGAATACGTTTTTCTCGTCTTCGCTGAAGACAGCGTTTTTTTCGAGATTTGGTCCGAATCTCTTGCTTCATTCTGTGATATTTTCCAATTTCTGATAGCACCAAACGAAACTCTTCCTCAGAGATTTTAGAGTCGGTCAGAGCGGTGGAAATATCGTGTTTAACTTCGCTTCGGCTGGAATTTCATCGTATTTTAATGCTTTACGTTGCAGTCTGCGAGATACGAACTTAAGGGTCAATCCGATCAACCCTACCACTCCGGATGTTATTTTGATGCCTAGCACCACGGGTGTGGCCACGATGGTGGATAACAACCCGACACCTGCTACGCCTAATCCAATGCTGACAGAAATCAGAGCGATGTCAACACCGTCCACGGAATTGACAGCCCTGCGATATTTTTGCTGTAATGCCGACCGTTTATCGCATTCACGTTCTAGTTGTTGTTTGATCTCGCATATATGTCGCAAACGAAACCCGTCTACGGTTTCCAGTGTTTTTGCTACTTCATCCACGACTGGGTACAGATCGATGCCAATGCTGTTGACCACTGGATTGTCTGGTCCAGAATCGAGTATTTACATACCGCCGCCATATAGCGGGGATATTGTGGAGTGCGGCCTAAACCTAAACTCACTCACCCACTCAGATATACCATACAAAGTCATCAGTATATAAGGTGTACACTGACTACAATACCACTGTTAGTCAACTAATAGTTTCAGAAATAGGTTATAAACGTCAGTTGAGTACCCATGCAGTCCAAAATGAAAACACCAAGAAGAGAAAAGTTATTTATTTGGCTATAAATTGGGCTGAGTACGAGGAGAGAATTAGGATATATGCACAACATGTATGTAGGCAGTTACCCACACTGTATGTTTCTAGTTAAGAAAGGACATATGAAACCAAGGTGACTAAAGCTATGACGGAAGGACTACAGTTGTGACGGAGTGACTAATGCGGTGACGAAAAATCAGTTACAGTGTCTTTGATACGATGACCAATCAGAGCCTACGGCTAGCTAAACGCCAAATTGTGGTGTTTTTACCCTGGTGTTTCTCTGTTCAAAATCAGTACCAAGTTATCCATACCCCAAAACAGGACATATCATTTGATTCCCGAGCATACCATTTCAGTAGCAGCATTAATGTCAGTCTTTATGGTACAAACAAACCAGTCAATAAATTCTTTTCCCAAACTGTAGACTATATCCTTGTCCGCCAGAAGATCATTTATAGCCTCTGAAAGGGTGGGGGGAAGAGCATCAGAAGAAGAGAAGGTATCCGAGGGTGGACAATCCAGCTTCTTCACAACTCCGTCAAGGCCTGCAGCTATGGTGGCGGCCATGGTGAGGTAGGGGTTTGTCATACCACTGGGAATACGATTTTCCAGGTAAGTACCCCTTTCTGAAGACTTCAATTTCAAACACGCAGAACGTTTATCAGTGCTCCAGTAGATGAGTCCAGGAAGATTGGGTCTGTGCAAGCGATCGTAACAATTGATGGTCGGGCAGAAGAACGCACTCAGAGCCTTCGCATGTTTCATGAGACCAGCCAACCAGTGTTTTCCTAAGGTGCTAAGACCATGAGGATTGTCAGGATCATGGAAAACATTGATGCCATCGGATAAGGACCAAAGTGAATGGTTAAAATGCATTCCTACTGCGCCAGATTCCTGCATAGAGGTGAAATTAACTGAATAATCTTTCTTATCCCCCATTTCTAGAATTCCATTTTTGAAGATAATACACGAATCAGCACTTTCAATGCCACACGAGGATTTGATTAGAATCTCGAACAACCCAGGATCGCCCTCAGAATGGAAAGTTCCGATGTCAACACCTGCTTGGTGCATATGTTTTTCGAGGTAAAATATTAAGCTGTCATGTTTGCTGACTAATCTTTGACGCATATAACCTGGTTCATGAGGATATGCTTTGCCAGTTTGTGTCAGTGTGAATTCAATTTCGTATCCAGAAAAGAGGCTAAATCCCAAATTGGTCAGTTTCTCTAACTGTTGTCTGGCAACATATCGAGGACATGCAAGTTGTGCCGATCCATCATTCAGCCAGTAACTCTCACATATTATTTCGGCCACCATGATATCATCCTGCCCTGACCAAGAGACATTGTACAGTGTATCCAGATCCGGGCGTGCATAGGCCTTCGGCACTCTTGAATTTTCCATTTTGTCTGATGGATAAGTCGCTTCGTTGTGCAGGCCAAAAGCTAGGAAACCTAAAATACACAGTTGAACAGGAACAATCATCAGTGAAACATATTTAGCAGATAAGCATTGTGTATTTCTTGATTTGCCTCTTTCAACCAATGGGATTCCTTCACAGGTCCCCATATTTTCTACAATAATGTTTGAAATATATTAGGAGCTTTTCAGACTTTAAGTGGCATAATTGAATTTCTCTTATTAAGAGTGTCGTTGAAAAAACCTGTTTGAAAAAAGAACGTTATTCGTTCCAGCAAGTTCATTCTTCATTTCTAATAGCCCATATTGTATTCTATATCTTTGCATGGTTATTCATTGACAACTGCTATATGAGCTATATTCTTAACAAATAGGCACCATAAATTGTGCTAAAATGAAGACACATGGTTAAACGTATCGCAACATCCCATATATTTCATAGTATTATTTAGTGCCATTACACATAACAAAGGAACTTGTGCAAACCTCAGTTTACTATCTGCATAAACTGACACTCAAGGAAAAAATAAATGGCAAATCTAAACGCAAAAAACGGAAAACTGTATCTTAATCAGAGGAGCAAACATTTCAGAAATTGCTGATAACTATGGCCTTATGGCTTTTACAAATGCTATCCTTTACAAGATTCTGACATAAGATCCATAAAAATCACGCACGTATCAATAACCAGTCAAGTACAATATCAATATCTGATCTTGTCACCGCCAACTAGAATATTAGCAATGGCCTTGACTGTACGTTACATTTGATGTTGTTTATTGCGTTCCATTTTTGATTGAGGACTTGATCAAATATATCAAGATTTTTTACTGGATTCTGCGACCCATAATGTGCGAAACATGCTCTATGGGATTGAAATCTGGTCTCCTAGTGGTCTCCTCTTGGCTTAGGGAATCACCACTGGCACGTGCACAATGTGGCCTAGCATTGTTGTCTATGAAGACTAGCCTTGTGTTCAAAGGGTAGTCATCAAAATGTGGTACAACAACCCCTGTCTAGGTTCGGTGATGTACAGTTGTCCATTCAGATTCTGTCTGATAGTCACAAGATGTTCAGAGGATGGCCATCGATCATAGGCGATTTCAGACTTTTTATTTGGAATCGCAAATAGTTGACGAGGCCCTATGCATGCTGATCAACAACGAAATCAATTGATTTTCCAAGTCACAAGAAACTTGATAAGTTCTTAATGATGAGTACACGTATTGCACATCATGCTTGCCTATGATGGTAGCGTATGGATATCTAAAATCAATTATGGTACGATCGAAGGGTCAAAATATCATATATTTACAAATAACAATCAGTCCAAATTTTTCCCATTTTGGTCCTCTTTCCACACATTATTTTTAGACTTTTAGTTCAATATTCAATTGTAAACTCAAAAGAGTACACTTAAATGTAAAATTTACTTATGCCTTGCAGACAATTAGAAACAGTCAAACCGGCAGTAGCCGTTTTTCATACACAACAATACTAAGTATACCTATGTACATGTAAACATCTGTTGGGAAATAATGGGTAATGTAAAAATGACCTGTACCTTGCATGTTAAAAGATGCAGTCATACCTACATATGCTGTATTTCATATACTATACGAAATAACACTATGTACCTATGCCTATTTATGTATATGCAGCATCTGCAGAGAAATAATGGCCCTACCCCAATCAGATACAGTCAAACCTGTAATTATCATCCACGTACTATGTACCTATCATCCATGTACTATGTAGCATCTGCAGAGAAATAATGGATAATGTAATAACGACTTAGGCCCTACGTCTATCAGATATAGTCAAACCTGTAATTATCATTTATGTACTATGCACTTATGCCTACTTATGCACGTGTAACATCTGGAGAGAAATAATGGATAACGTAATTTTGACTTAGGCCCTACGCCTACCAGATATAGTCAAGCATGTATTTATCATCTATTTATGTACACCTATGTATATGTGAACATCTACTTATAATTATATGTCATGTAAACAAACATCTGCTGGGTAATAAAAACATTTTTAAAAAATAATCATACAAAGAAACATGATTATGCTATGAATATAAATGGCTATATGGGGTTTTAAATCATAGGTGTTGCGATACTTTTGACCATGTATATATAAGCGTTTCCTATAAAGCGCCAAATGTAAAATATAAACATACGTGCTTTCCATTTATCAAAGAGTTCTTTATATAATTTGCATTACCTGCGTAAAGGTTGCAATTGACACCTGTCTCCAAGGTTATCTTCACATGTCTTGCAGGAACAACTCTTCCTCGTAATCTTCCGTGCATATCAGCCACAGAGAAGCGGACATAGTCGTACTTGTTGATGTGATCAGACATCTTTGAGTTCAGGACGTTTCTGTAATAGTTTGGGTTTTTTCTAGTGGGCTTCACTCAGATGCATGAATGTTCATGTGTGTATCCTGCAAATTTCATATAATGATGTTAAATAAGCGACAAAACCTTTCCATGAGCATAAAAGATAGAAGCGACAAAACCCTTTCCATATTCATAAGAAATCTCTGCTAAAAGTAGAGTTGATCGTACTATAGAAATCTCTATGTAGAATTCCGACCTAACATCAGCATGTCTTTTGAGTCACAAAGTGATGATACATGGGAAAATCAAAATGCATCAAAGCATTCATAATTTACCGGTTTCGGGAATAAACTGGAAGCAAATGCATGAATAACGGGGCATATTTAAAACGGGATGGAAGAACAGAATTTGTGTACATGTAATTGTAACTGACTCCGCGTAGATAGAGTTTTAAATGTCCCTGTGCCCTAGAACGCCTTCCAATGCAATTTCGTTGTGATTTTAAAAAACAACTAAAACATCAATCTGGTTTATAGTTGGTCCCAAGTAATTTATGCCTTTGGTAGAAGCGTCTAAATGGAACATGCATGGCGATCTTATTGATTACATATTTTCGTACCCTGGTGGTGCAGTACGTTACACATATCAATCATATGTCTTTCAGACTTGGACGTGTTTGCAAGGCAATGTGCCTGGATATGAGCGCCATATATATATATAAGCGGATTATTACTATTACTATTACTATGTCAGTTTACGAGGGGGAAAATCCCAAATGTGATGAAGGCCTCAGAGCCACGAGGACGGGAATCAGCATGTGGCGTGAAATGTGTTGTTTGCAGTAGTATGATAGAAATGAATACACAGAAGAGAAGGGTGAGTTAAAAATACCATAACGTACACAAGTCTCTCCTGAACACAGAGAACCATTCACGATTCCAAACACTTCGTAAGTACGCGTTTATGAATAACTTGCAAATAATTAGGACACCAGGTGTTTGTTCAATGGCGAGTGTTTCATGCTCCCACCGGTAGCTCCCGACACAAGGACATTCAAAAGCTATCACCTGTTTACTGTTTACTGTTTACTGTATAACTGTTTACCTGAAGAGGCAGGTGAAAATAAGGTCCAAATACAGAATTACACCTGACATCATTATTGCCACTGTGGACATTTTTGCCACCTTTGTCCATTTCGGATATTTCGTCCACATGTCTTCCATAAACGTTTGGAACAGGAGTTAGTGCAAAATATGACTTCCGAATATTCTTTTCTCAGAAAACATTCAATATTAGTAGAGAAGGTATATAATTTTGAAAACACTCACACTGCGGAGTTTGAGCAGGTACAATGTGTCCGATCCTGTGGTAAGTTCTGATTGCCTTACCCCCATATTGTTGAACAATTCCCAACCACCAACAGATAAGGTATATAATTAGCATGAACAACAAGATCATTATTCCTCCATGTTATCAGTTTCATCTGTCGTCTCATGCGTGACCTGGCTAATGTTATATGGTCCGTCAGTCAAATGACTCGTTTTCCCGAAGTATAAATGCTCAACAGGTGTTCGAGATACAAATACATATCTGACTAAGCATGAAATTAAAATGAGCATTAAATAGAAAAAATCAACTTAGTTTCATGTACATTTGTAAGTCATAGGCAGTCAAGAAATAATTAAGTCAATAAATAATTCCGCTCTTCGGACAAGTTACCTTAAGTGACGATCACTTTATCGAAATTTTATGAAAGCCCAAATCTAATCATATACATGTTAAATAGAGTTTATTATTATTAATAGATATATTACACAAACGTTCCGATGTATCTTTTTCTATTAAAATATGACATACACTCTTAATTAAAGAAAGAGTTTCTATAGCATGATATGTGAAAGGGTTAATTCTGCGAGTAGGGCAGTGTAATGAGTCTGATTCACACGGCTTAGAGCCATGCCGGTCTTGTCTGCGGACAGCTTTACAGGACGCCCAAGAGCAAATTGTGTAGCCTTTTTTGGACAACCTTTGGGCCACCCGTATTCACTCTAGCATTAGCAAATTACCTTAGTGGACATGAGGACATTCGATGTAAGAACAGGTAATTGCATCAATTCAACGTTAACGATACTTTCTTCAAGTTTCTGTTCTTAAACCTCTTGGGACTAACAATATGAAGCTATTACTATTTCCTGTGGCGCCTTAATGTAAGGGATACCCGTGAAGGTCCTGGTTAGAATTGATCTTCAGTAATCCAGGGACCATGCTTGTCGTAAGAGGCGACTAACGGGATCGGGTGGTCAGGTTCGCTGACTGGGTTGACGCATGTTATCGTATCCCAGTTGCGTAGATCGATATTCATGCTGCTGATCCCTGGATTGTCTGGTCAAGACTCGATTATTTACAGACCGCCGCAATTTAGCTGGAATATTGCTTAGTGCGGCGTAAAACTAAACTCACTCACTCACTAATGTAAGGGGTGGGGGCTGTAGTCTGCTTTCTTTCTCGCTTAATCTATAAATACGATAGATAGATAGATAGGCGATTTCCGTTTTACACTAATCCTTGTGTGGAGGCTAAGAAATCGTCCGTTGTATCATTTTCCGTTGTTTCATCCGTTGGATGAATTCAACTTGGATTCCGGAATTACCTGATACGTGATATTTTTTTATTTTCTACCAATCAAAACTACACACGTACCTCTATGTCATAATGCATTGGCTGATGAATTATATAATGTTTCTGTCCGATGATGAGTGCAAAATTGAGACGCGAAGGTAAGCCCAGGTATCAGGATGTAAATAGATAATTAACAAGTTAGCAACGAACAGGATTAGGTTTACAATCATAAAGGGTTGTACAATGCATCAATTAGAGAATTTCAGTGCACTTACTAATCTCATGATTTTTACAGTCAAAAGTTTTGAGTGAGACAGATCCGTCCTCTGTCCCTGAATACAGGAAAGTGTGTTTGAAGAAATCTGAAAACTCCAAGATTTCCGATAGATATCCCGTCTGGACTGGATGAGTAAATAAACCACATGTATCGAATCGTCCTTGTCACAGGCCCGCTAGAATCCTTTTAAACCGTGCACGTGTAGTCATCCTCTATACAGTTTTCAGTATCAGAGGGAACGAAGGTCAAGGGCTGGGACGGTGTTTGGACGGTCCACAACTGAGCGAGGTTAAACGTTTTACGAGCTGTCGCTGACAAGAGCAAATAACCTTGCAAGGAAACTGATACTTCACGAACGTCATCGTCTGCTGCCAAATGACATTTATCATTATTAGCCTTCATGGCTCATTATATACACTGCATCAACCATCTGATGAATCTTTTAAGATACATTTATCTGACCTTTTTTCTGGCTGGTTACCGAATGGTAATTTTGTTTCTAAGATGCACGGTGCTGAGAGATACGGTATAGATTTCAAATACTGTAATATGATTACAAGGCAGTTCGGAGAACTTACCAGACTATATCCTACTGGAAGGCAACGGTGCCACCTATCCATGTGTTTATGACCTGTGCTGGACATCAAGATGTTCATGAAGCGGTTCGCTGGCGACATAGTCGAACAGATTATAACATGAACAAGCGAAAATATTCTGGCTGTCAACAGGTCACGGGGTATTTGGTGAGATGTGCACTTTGAACGAATTCCGACATCATAGGCTCGCGCCATCACAGACTTCACAAGGTATACAAGGTATACCCTTCGTGACCAGTTGATAACTAATAACATATCATGTCAACATCCTCTGTATAACGCTGTTCATGATGAAAGTGAATTACATCCAAGTTACTGGCAGTTATCAGCCCGATGATTTTGATTATTGCGTATTCCGACGGGGCTTGGGGTTATCAAGGACTGGCCATACCGTAATATCAAGGACTGGTCATACCATAATATTAAGGACTGGCCATGGGTTGCCATGTGCAAATGATATAGCTGAAAAAAATGCTAAATACCTTGTGAAAGTGTACCCTGACCTTCACTACACAATAGTTTTGATTAGTAAATTGGTTCACAGAACCTGCGAAGATCCAGGTTAGAACTGGTCTTCAGCAACCCATGCTTCTAGTAAGAGGCGACTATCTGGGTCGGGTGGTCAGGTTCGAAAATTTGGTTGATACATATCATCGTATCCCATGCTCATGCTGTTGATCAATGAATTGTCTGGTCTAGATTTGATTTGTACTGACCTTCTCCATACATTTGGTATATTGCTGAGTGCGGCGTTAAACAACAAGCAACATTGGTTTCTAAGCCCAAAGCGCCTTATTTGAAACAGACCATGGCTTTATGCAAATTAGTGTGCAATGATACAAAAGACACTTTGTAAATGCCCTTTCTGAAATGAAACTTACCTTCATTATAAACGATAGCTGGCGTAAAAAATACTAACTTTATGCTGAAAGTATTAAGGATGTAGCTACCATGGAGTCTCACTATCACTATAGAAAGAAACAGGTAGGAGGGGGTCGTCTCAAAAGAAAAACCAGGACGGGTGACGCAGACTGTGGTTGGGGTTGTGCTGGAGGATAGAGATATCAGCTAAGATAAGATAATCCTTCAGGGGAATTAAACTGGGGCGGTAAACGACATGTCATAACAAATTATAAATGATATCCAGTCCTGTCGATCTTCGGGTGGTCATGACACCTATATATTTTGAGTCATTTAATAGGATGGCTGATTTAAGCTTTTCTGTGGGTATCATACTCTTTCACATATCTCAACATAAACTTTATGAAAGAAAGACACGTAAGATGTTAATCAATAGATGAGACATATTCAGCACATATGTAAAAGCATAAAATATCTTTGAGATGACCCCTTGTGCCTGTTGGCAGTACATGCATTTTATGCCAGGTGAGTCGACGGTCCGTCGTCATACCTGGCTGAGCGACCTTATTGCCATCTATAGTCTGATCTATTGTTTGGAGTAGGTTTTCAATTGTGTAACAATACAGAGTAACAGCCTAAAAACAGTTTTTTTTACTATTTCCGACAGT